TTTTAAATCATAGTTGCAGATATTTGTATATCTCAGTATAAAAAATAACTGACAATTATTCTTTTCATTATTTTGAATTATTATCAATTGACCACTTCTCTAATTGTCAAGAAATTATAAGACAAGTATTGTTTGAAGTGTGAAATTCTATTCTTGTTAGTTATTGACTTATTCTATTAACTATTATCTTAAAAATTATGGTAATGAATTATTCCATTCATTGAATCTATATTCATAACTATCTTTTAAGTCTTTGTTGAGCATAGTTCATTAATTCTTTGTTTTAATAATACTTTTTTATATACATTCTTTATACAATAAGTCAGTGCCGAAGTTATTCCAAAATTATTAATTAATTCTGATTCTTCTAATTCGCTTATACATAAATCATTTTCTTATCTAAAGTATTACCATCTTATCTCTTTTTTAACATACAACAGCAACCTTATAAATTCATATTTTTGATAATGTTTTATAGTGATAACAAAATAAATTGTGCTATAAAATTTAATTATGATTATTCATTTTTAAAGAATCAAAGATATAACTTCAATATTAGTTAATATTTGATGTATTTCATACATCAACTTTACATTTTTATTACAAAACATCATTTCTTTTTTTTCTAATAACTATTCTGAGTTATAATTCAATAAACTAATAACACCATTATAATTTTGTTTCATGAACATTCTTAATTCTTAATTATATTAAGTCTATAAGAATTGAAGTATATTCTTTCAATACTCTTCTTCCGATATTATCTTTTGATTGTTATATTTTAACTTAATATTAAATATTTGAGTTTATTAATTACTTGTAAACCATCACTTCTTCTTTATTTAAACTACTTAAGAAGTATAAATTATAAAATAGATTCTATTTTTTGAATTTGACATTCTTGATTATAACGTGGGATCTAATGTTTTGTGTTAAACTTGCATAGTATTAGTTCGAATGGATGGGGTGATAGGATTAACACGAGAAGATAAAATAAAAAAATTTCAGAATGTAATTCAAAAAACACAGTCAGATGTTCTTGGTCTTGATTCAATTAAGTTAGTTGATGTTAAGGATCGAATTGTTAATGGATATTTGAAGAAGTATCAAGGGAAATGTATTCCAATGAGTTTTAATGATGATGTTCAACGAATCATGGAATCTCAGAAATGGGAAGAGATTGGTGAGCTTAAAGAAGGAAATGTGTTTGTTTCAACTAATAAAATAGATGAGCTTTTAAACAATGTGGAAATCAAAGATTGTGAAAGAAAGGGAGAAAGGAAGGTGTGGTTTTCAAGGAGTTCAAGCATTGGACCTAAAAAAAGAATGGAAGATTTTGATGTTTTTGTTGAAGATATGAAAATGCTCAGTAATAAAACTTCAGAAAGTATTGCATTTTTTGGAGTATTTGATGGACATTTAGGAACGTCTACTGCTGATTATTGTTCATTTAAAATATATAATGAAATAATTCGGCACAAAGAATTTCCAAACAATTTGAAAAGGGTTGTTTGTGATGCTATTTATTCAGTAGAAAATGGATTTAAACCACTAGCAGAAAAACTTAGTGCTAATGCTGGAACAACAGCAGCAATTGCATTAATTACTGAACGAAATATTATAACAGCAAATGTTGGAGATACAGAAATTGTACTATGCAGAA